AGACAAAGAGGGGGGGGGGGGGGAAGGTAACTGAAACTTGTGAAGATTTTAAAGAAAATCACTGAACACAAACCCAATCTCTCCAGAACAGGTCTAAAAGTTTAGTGTGTTTGGCCAACTGAGGCCAAGCATTTTTAATCCAGGTGTAGGCAGAAGAGTTGTTTACACTGACGCAAGAACAAAACGTACAAACTGGCCATGCATAAATGCATAAATGCTAGAAATTTGAGGAAAATCTTTAATTAGAAGTAATAGGTCTACACAGCTCTCAAGGACATAACGGGGCCACAAATTGTCCTTGGTATCCCCTTGCTATAGATCAAAGAATTATGATTATCTAATACTCAACATGAAGCTCCTTGAGCCTCGTAAGTCATGATGACTGTTTAGATATGAGGTTTCTCCCTCACTCTGAAACGTCTAAAAACTTGTACTTACCCAGATGATTACTCACTTAATAAACAACACATCTTATGTATTTTGCCCTTCAATCCCCAATTACAAGTAACATTGCTAGAATCACATCAGAAAAGCAGTAATTGCTAGAACTGTTAAGATTCCAGTCAATTCAATTACTACACGTCATAGTTTGAGTGCAAATTTCACATGAATAACAGTTTTAATGACTTTCAACAAGACGTACACAATTTAGATCTATGGGTATTTGTAAAAAAGTCTGACTTATGTCCCTCATACTCAGAAACTATTTGGAATTCACAGTTATGGACACAGGTTTAAAAACATTTTCTGAGGCAGGAAGAAATTTTCAAATCCATGTTCAACTTTACATTTGATATCACCATTCTGTCTCAGAGATTAAACTCTGTCTTAATCCATACTTCAAAGGGAGTGAGAACAGTATTGTGTGTCATACCAGTGTCTGTCTCAGAACAATGCCTACAGTTGACCTTTGATTTTGAGAACAGTTAAATTTGGTTTTCATTCCAAATACAACTCCATTATTATTCCTAAACTTAAAGTTAAGCCCTATGTGAATTACAAGGTATTTCATAATTCTGGTTATAAGAAGCTGTGGACAACGGTTTGCTGTAATTCCATCAGCCCTACTGGAATAAAAATAGGTGGACTCGAAACTCCAATGATTCAGAGAAAGATACCTCCACTAGTTCCTTAAGACAAGTAAAATACTCATCTTTGTCTCCAGCTTTTTCCTTGTTTTTTACAAGATCCTTAGATCTAAACAACCAGAGGATTTATATATGTGTATACATACATACATATGTATATAGCATATCATTATACGTTGACATGAAAGCAAAACTGCAGACAAAATTTACAATAAATATAGGCTTTTTACTATATCAACAGATATATGCCATAATATAAATTGTTTACCTAAATTTAACTGCTACAGATTCTGGCAGGCAGTAATGTAAGAGAGTAGACTTTGATATTTAAAAATACAGTACAAGGTTACTCTTCCAGTTCTGAAGTGGAAATACCTCATGTTTTTGTAAACAGTGTTTCTAAAGGTTTCATTTTGCTTTCATGCAACAGTATACAAGCCCAATCAAAATGCACGGATCTGCATATTTCAGTCTAATCAACAGTGCCAGACATTAGGAATCACAGAAAGGTACCAAAACTAACATTTTCACAGTCTTAACTGTACCAGAATGCAACCTGAAGCTCTACTACCTTTGCACTTGTAAAATCAAGATAGGAAATGCTGGTTTAAACAATTGCCTGCAAGGAGTATACAGAGCACATGATTGAACACTCTTTTCTCCAGTGATCTGTAAAGGTTTCATACAGACCCTGGGGCATGCAGTTCCAGGGAATGATTCTCAATGTTGCCTTCCACTCATCTAGAGTAGGGATTTGGCTGTAATGCTTTGCAGCTCTCTTTCCTACCCACGTACCTACATGCCCTTCCCACTCAAACCTGAGAACAAGATGGGACAGAGCATGTGCCAATCTCATTGTGATGTAGAACAAAGACACAGTCAGCATGGTGCTCACTCAGAGCAGGAGCTGGGAAGCATTCCCGCACCCCACAATTAGCTATAGCCTCCGGCACTTAGTATCACGCAGGAACTCTGTACAGACAGCGGCAGTCCAAATGAACTGTAGAATAATAGAATCATTTAGGTTGGAAAAGGCCTTTAAGATCATCAAGTCCAACCGTAACTACCCTCAGTCTTTCTGCAGTCTTTTGCTTCATTACTTTCCAAACTGATCCTCTGGACACCAGCCTCCTCTAATGTAACCCTGGCATATGTCTAAAGCAGGTCCATCCAGTGACCTGAATTAAGCAGCTGTTTTCAAATGTAACTGTGTATGACCACATAATCACAACATCATAATACAAACACACACAGCATGCAAATCAAGGCTGCAAAGACAACTTTAGTTCTGGTATTACCTAACCTGTAAGAACTCAACTCCACAACATAAATGGTGCTCTTACAGGGCCTTGTTGTTAGTTTTCTTGGGGGTTTTCTTTTTATTGAGGGAAAGGGAAGGGGCAAAATGGAGGAGCAGAATAACATAAGCCTGAGAAAGCAAACACTCCATTGTATGGTGCTATAGAGATCCATTCAGCTGTCAACAGCTTGTATCTAAACAGGACTACACAACTTGAGCGAAGAAATTAAGCACCAGTTTTTAATACTCGTTGTACGGCAGTATTATGATATTATTACTGAATAGCTCACTTCATCTCAAATATGTCTGATGTCTTCCAGCTGAAGAGACAGATTCAGCGATCTTATACTCTTTTCTTGAATATACTGTAATGCAGAGAATCTAACCTCTTTTTTTCTTATAAATTACCTCAACATATGTGCTACAATTTAACATCAGTCTTTGTTTTAACAAACAGTAAATGTAACTGTTCCTCCTTATGCACAATTTCTCTGTCCTATTACCTCCAATTTGCATCCTTCCTATTTCTGGCTCCCATTCTCTCTCTTATTTCTCTGCAATTTCTGTGTATGCTATTATTCTATAATTTTATTTTCACTAACTCTCTACTCTACCTGCAGTAATTTCTCTTCAGTAACACAGTACCTGTTCACTGGGCATAAAGGATGCACTTCACTGCCCTAGGTTACTCATGTAAGCTAACTCAGGAGCTAATGGCAGCATAAATACACAGTCCTCTCCTAGTGAAGTGTCACCTTGCAATCAGCTGGCTCCTCAAAGACCCAGCAGTGATAGAATATTTTGGGTTACACCTGAGGGCTGCAGCCTACCTGCATTCTCCCTGTAAGCTGAAAGAGTCAAAACAAACAAAACAAGAGAAAACCATCAAGCAATCAAAAAACCTCACATGATTTGATGTCTGTTCATTGCAGATCATATAAATACAGGTAAGAATGAGTACATGTTTCTTTTTTCCACTCCTAATGAATTATGTAAAGGTAGTAGGTTCTTGGGTTTGAAGTACTGCAAAGACATGCGAGATGACACCATGCTTGATGTCCCTTGACACAGGCAAACATTCCAACCAAGACCAGTTTTACGTCTCCCTGTCTTTTGTAGATAGACGGATTTAGGTACATTATATATTACTGTCAAAGCAAGGCAACAGAACAGAAATCAGTGTCAACTCCTAATGTATTTAAACACTACCAGTTTCAAGAAAGAAGGGCTCAGCTTCTACATGGGAATCAAAACTATGCTTTCCTATAATTGCTGCTTCCCTTGGTATTTGTCATAGTACTTTCAGAAGTTATGAAAAAAAGAATGTCATGTTGAAAGTTCTCAGATTTTCTCATCAAAATGTCAGAAAAGAAGATAAAAACAGGCAAGTTTATTACAAACTCTTCTCACTATTCCGTCCCTTTTGCCACTTCATTGCTATGTCAGTTCACTCTTGATCACACGAAGACGGTTCTGTCCTGGACATATTTGAACTGATTAAGAAATTTGTTTAGACTGACAGAGCTAGGATTTAGACTTCTGAGTTCATGAAGCTAAATCCTAAATTCCAGAGGTATACAGACTTGCCAGAAAATTTCTTAATAGCAAGTTTTTTAACTGCCCAACTATTAGACTTGCAACCAGTGAAAACATGGAAGTCCTGGGAGCTCCACAGATAAATTTTTTATTATGTACACTATGAAAGGCCAGAGATTCATTTATATAAACGGCAACTGTTGTAAACAACAGAAACCATTTACAGAATAGTGCAGTTATACCCCTGCTGCCAGTACAGGGATATTCCAATATAGGATACACTCTTCTTGAATATTATGAAAAAAGTAAATGGACACCACTAACAATTTTAGGAAGTTCCAAATTTGCTTAGCAAAACTGAAGATATCTGGGGATATTTAACCACTGGTCAACAGTCCTTAAAGTGGTAGTACAAACAAATCATGAACCTGCTTATTCTCTGACTTTGCCTTTCATCTGCTTAGAACACATGTGATGAGGTCAGTACAACAAAGTGGAAAGCTGCTGCCTCATCAGTTACAAGTCTCCAAACATTGTTACTTGCATTTAATTAAGAACTCTGATAGAAGTCTTCCATAACTTAAAAAATCTTACATAAATGATGTAATTCAAATAAAACTTTAAAAATCAGTTTTGAACTGCATGGTATCATCATAATTGGATAGCATGCTGAAAGGAGATTAGAGACCATACAGTGAATCATTAGTGCATAATTAGTCCGTTATATCAGAGAATCACAGGATTCACTTTAACTGTGGCATACAAAGGAAAGTTTATACCACTAAAGAAACTGAGAACATAACTTAAAAATCAGACTTACCATTCTTGGTCAAATACTGAACGTTTGTCATCACTCCTTCAGTGTAAGCACCTGGTTCGTAATTGTCCATCTCACCCGAAACAATATGAGCTACTCTTGAAGCACGGCCTCGGATTGCACCAGCTGCACGATCTAAATTGTCTGCATTTTGCTCTCTCAGTGCAATGATACACTTGTTTACATCCTCAAGAATATGGCTTTCTGCAAATAAACCAACATTCCTTTTAGGATGGCACCTCTTACACAATCAGACACATTTTCGACATGGAGTTGATTGCATTTTTTCTTCCTCTGTTGAAATGCATTGGCCAACACAGGCTTGGATAAAAAACTTACAATGTGAAATCTACACTGAACTGTCCTTGAAATTCTTAAAACAATTTACTGAATCCTAGAATTCAAAGGTACAGTAATAATCTCCTATAAGCAACAGCAACAATAAAATATTCAGTCAGAAAGTGTTAGAAAAATATGAAAACCACAAACCCTTACATACAGAGTGAATATTTGCAGAATGAAGGAAAATTTCAAGGGATTAAAGCTGTTACTTGTTGTTGAAAACTTCTTAAGCTGCTGTGACAAAAGGTTCCATAGCGAGATGAATCTTTATTGACAAACAATAGCCCCAACAACTAAACTAACTTCTTTTACATCAATATGTTAGGATGTTCATGCTAAATCAAACTCCTATGTGAATAAAAAAGAGCAGTATTTTTGCCTAATTGCATTAAAATTGGACTATTACTTATTAAATTATTGCAATGTGTCATTATTACAAAATGTATATTGATTACATATTTTCCATACGATTTACATTTCTTATTTATAGTAATGTATTTACTGTATTACTATTTATATTACTGGCTTATACGCTATTGGTGACTTTCAAATAAATATGTGCAAATATATATCTATATACCTACAGTATCAGTTACCAATTTATTAACACAATTATGCAGCACTGGCTTGCCTACTACAGCTACATTATTTCACTGTGCCTTCTTGCCATACAATACTTCCCCCCCTTCAGCTATTTCTGTCATTGCCTAATGGTAAGATTTCTGTTTTCTATTATCATTCCTACAATATTCTTTTCCTTATTAGAATTTTCCTCTTTAGAATTCATGATCACCTCACAAATTCAAAGCCACATTGAAGAAATGAAGGAATTCTTGTTTGCTTCATCTTTTCTACAGTATGGCAACTGGTTTATTGTCAAGCCTAGTTAAATGATTTGCCACAACATATCCAAAGCCTATCCATTTTTACTTTTTACTAATTGAAACATAGACATGTTATAGTCACCTTCCGCCTGTACAAATATACATACATTCCTAATTTTACATTTCTGGCACAAAACAGAACACAAAGTTTGGGAATAGGCAGGGAGATGCTGTTAAACTATGTGAATCACATAATGACGCAGAACCTCTTGAAAGTCAAAAAGTCTCTTAGACACCAGTTCTTTGGTGAGAGATTAAATGGGTTAAAGATGATCCTCCTAGTAAAAAAGCTTTAAGAAAGAAATAAACATGCACAAAACCATCCCACTGCTAAAGGGGCTGAAAGATGCAATAAAAAAGGGCTATTCTTCCATAGCACTATTTAAAAAAACCCAACCCCCACCCCCCCGCCAAACCAACAACAGTATGTATCACAGTAATTGCTATCTTCCAGCTATGGACAATATTTAGCATCCAGAGGACTTCTTCAATATTTGATAAAAGAAAGGCAAAGAAACACCTGGGAGCTGATGAAGTATATGTTGTACGGTTAACCAAAGAGGTACCCAGTGGTGTCTTTCCTAAGGATGGGAGTTGTAATAAACTGACTCTGTCTTCCTTACAGATCAAACATGTTTATATCTGGCACTCACCTCCAATGCAGGTAGAACTGCAAAGTTGCTTTTGCTGGTTCCTCTTTGACAGACTTTTTTTTTTTTTTTTTTAAATGGCAGTAGCTGCCCTATGCCAAGACAAATTGAGCTGCTTGACACACTTCCACACTAAAACGCACCAAACACTCAGTACAGAAGAGACACTTGAACCTTTCTTTGCTATTTCGCTCAGCTCTATGTGATGTAATGACCTCATTGAAGGGAGTCTGATGTCAGTTTGTGTCTAAGACAGCCAGAAAAGAGAAATTATTATAACACACATAAATACAACGTGAGCATGGCATATTAGCATTTCCAAGTCACCCAGGCAAAATGTCAACAGTTAAAAAAGAACAATGATTTGGCTAGAGGAAAGTACAAGGAGAAAATGGTTGCTTGTACACTGATGGAAACAACTGTTGGGTTGACACGGTCAGAAATGAAAATTAGAGAAATGCAGAAGGGTGCCAAGCAATGAAGAATTATACAATTCTTCCTCTAAAATAAATTATCATCCTTCTGTCTTTCTGAACATCCATTTCCTCAACATTTTTCAAATGCCAACAGTAAAGTTCTATTTGTGCTTAAAAACTATTTTTTGGTACTCAAATATATACTAATGGAAAAAAGAACATCAGCAGGAAGGATGGAGATGAAGAAGAAAATACTGGTACTAAAATAAGAAAGACTGGTCATAAACCAAAAGGTAATAGACCTGAGTAAGAATTCAGATTAAGCTAGAAGGCAATATCAGTAATGTCAAGAGTTACAGAGAGAACAGATATGTGGTATGCTAGTATTCCCACCTATACCACCAATACTGAAGGGCATATTCCATTTTTTTCAGGTAAAGTGATGTATATATAAAATTTAACTTGTGGTACAGAGGGCAATACCACAAAATATAATTAAAAAAGATAATATGTTTATGGCTTTAAAGCTTATCACTTCTTAAAAGCTTCCATACTAGTTTTGGTATTGAATTTCCTTTCCTACACAGACCTAAAATCTGCTTTGTCTCTCAGAGAATGTAATACAAGAACATTAGAAATGCAAGATGTGAAGGCAACAGATTTGCTCTATCTTCAGAAGTACCACTGTGAAACTTTTTTTGCACTAAGCCATGAAATAATTCAGAGCTTACATGTTTCTTGTTAACTCAGGACTGCCATTCAGTATGTCAGTATTAAATTGCACTTTATGTTATACAATAAATTGGACAACCATGGTAACCAGGACAGACAAAACGTGCTCTTAGGTAATCCTGAATTACTAACTATGTCTGGCATGAGTATCTTGGGATTCTACCTATGCAAAAATTATGAATTCTGGTTCAGTTTATGAAACTGCTACATCACAGAATGCCTCTATGAGTATGGAATGTCCATATTCTTTCAGGTACACGTCACCAATCTCCAAGATCAGCAGAGAAGTTTAATAATGGTGACTTTCTTAGCACTGTTTGTTCAGTCTGTGCATATTCTGTTAACTATACCCATAGACTACCATCTACATGGAAGCAGGGCAATGAGTGGACTGGCAACTCTTTCAGTTCCACCCATGCCAAACACAACACATGAAACTGAAAGAAAGGGGCAAACGACAAGATGCACAAAGACGTTCCAGGGACTACCCTGTGCTGTACAGGTTAATACCTCATCTTTCTTTTATCAGGCATCTCCTCCTGTGTGCTTTCCACAGTGGGAGGCTTCCAAACAAACCAGTTTGTGAATGTGTACAAGGCTGAAAAGGGCTGAAGCACTGAAGGAAAGAGAGGGCTGACGTGCACAGAACGCAGGAGAAAGGACTAACAAAACCCCACTTCTGCTGCCATAATTATGTCTACAATGAAGTAGTATAGGTCACCATTGCATTAGGTTTAATATTGTCCATCTGTTAACAGAGACAATCACAGAAGTGGATAGCACAACCTCCACTTTAAGGGCCTTTATGTGAAGAATACACTCCCTTTTAACTGTTCAGCAAAGACAACAACGAAAGGGCTTAGTCCTGTGTAAACAGAAAGGTAGGGCTCTTCTGATACATACCAAGTGAAGTCTCCATAATGGAAAAACACAGTTAACTGGTTATCTTGTGTGATATGAACCTCAAGTAAATTTAAAAAAAAAAAAGAAAACCAAAACACTGCATGTGGCATAATGGAAATACTGTATGAATGGAACACATGATGGAAAGCTCCCCGTTTCCAAACCCTTCTAAGAGATGTCAAAAACAACACTTTCATGGAGAAAGAAAAAGCAAATCTGAGGCCAGATACTCAAAAGAAATGCAATTAGACCTGTATGTTGTGGCCTGAGATCCCAATTAGCTGCTTCCTTCCAAATTGGTAAGACTACTTTTAAGTCCTTTTAGAATTCAACTATCAAAGCCCACAATAATATCAGAGAATATAAATGAGAATGTGATATATCCTTCCAGACACTGTGTTTCACAGAAGACAAAGACGGATGCAGATTTTATTAACTGTGTACCGTCCATCCACCTTGTACTAGAAAAGATGTGCAACATCTTTTCTTGCTACATCCATACACTGTCACAAGTAAGGGGTCAGTTGAGAACTTCCCAAATGCCATACTTACGTCAAAAAATCACAAGCTCTTGGCAGCATGACAGAATGCACAGACAATACACGAACTCAATAAGCATAAATGATCTTGTCCCCACATATTGGTAGTATACAGCCGTAGCCTTTCTGCATATCCACAGTCAACACACAGTCTCTCACAATGTTCTGAAGCTCCTCCCAGATGAGGTACTTCACAATCAACAAAACCTTGCTTAACTTAATTTCCTCAAGGCACAAACAAGCTTATAAATTTGCCTTAGCATGTCTAATAGAAAAGGAAAGAAATCAGCACTGGTCACAGTCCAGCTGAGATTCTTTTCACCTGTAACTTTCTTACAAATGCTTCCTCCTCCTATACAAAATTCATTAGATCAACTTCTGATTTTCATCGCAGTATCCTACTTTCCAAAGCAGAAAAGGATGATTAGGATGATGTACCATCTCTTCGTCATGAGTCAATATCTAATATAAGATTTAAGTATAACAGCGGATTGATAGATGTTTAAAGAAATTGTCAGATCACCACAGTCATCACAGCAGTTATCACGAGTGGTGCGCTGTACCTTCTCATTTTCCTTTGGGATCTTGGTGTTAGTTGGATTGGCCAAAAATCATATCTCAGCTGAGCTAACCACTGGATAATAAAGCTGTCTCTGACAAAGCCATGACTCAGACTGTCTCTGGGACAAAATCAATAGCTCTTCCTTTGCATGTCATCTGAAGAAAAAGACAGGTGAT